CACGTGGGGGGGGAGAGAGCCCGGGCTCTCCTGTGGGCGCCGGGCGGGCTGCCCCGTGGCCACAGCGTGCGTCCCCGCCCGGCGCTGACCTCTCTCTGTCCCGCAGGAGCCCGTGCTCCACGTCCTGCTGTCCGCTGACCTGAATGTCCAGCACTTCCCCAGCCTGGAGGAGGCAGGGAGGTGCCGGCGAGGTCACCGTGGACTCTGGGCTCGGACGCTGCGTTCGGTTGTGAGGAGCGAGGATGGGCTCTCTGGGGCGGGGGTTCTATTTTTCGGGGCGTGTCTTAGGTTGAGGCCCAGTTTGCACACAGTGAGTCGCAGAGGTCTTCGACTTCAGCCCGGGTTCTGACGGGCCCTGCAGGGCGCCCCAGGGGGACGTAGAAAAGGCTGTCACTCTTGAGCAGCCCTGCCCTCTCGGGCCCGCGAGGGGAGCCCGTCCTTTCATCTCGAGCGCCATGGACGGTCCTAGACCCTGGCCGTGTCTGGTTTCTCGGCTCCGTGTGGCACGGAGACGTCTCTGTTGTTGCTGGAAGGAGCAACACTGATGCCCTTGCATGGGAGGAGGGTGCGGGGGAGGGAGCGGGGATGACAGGCAGGCACAGCCACCAATCAGGGCCACTGTGGTGCGGAGAGGGATGCAGTGACGAGGGCGTAGGTGCCGCCCAGGGACCCTGAGATGAGTGAGGCTTTTAACCCCATTCTGTGAGCTGACCCTGTCTCACTGGTGCTTGTTTAGCACTTAAAAATGTTGTGTTTGTTTGTTTTTTAAAATATATTTTAAAAAATATATTTAAGAGGAAGGGAGAGGGAGAGAGAAACATTAATGAGAGAGAGTTATGGATCAGCTGCCTCGTGCATGTCCCCGATTGGGCATCGAGCCCTCAACCCGGGCATGTGCCCTGATCGGGAATGGACCTCCTGGTTCATAGGTCGACGCTCAACCACTGAGCCATGCTGGCCGGGCAAAAACATGTTGAATTTTCTGCAGAGAAATACCTGAGTCAGGAGCCGGGCTCCCAGCCCCACAGCTTCAGCGAAGACTCTGTCCCGAAGCCCTCGCTGCCCTGCTGAAGGCCGGAGCGCCCGAGGGCAGGGCGGCCGAAGGTTCTCCTGCGAGGCCGGACGCTGCGCTGGCCGGAGGGTCTGAGGAAGCCGGAGCGGACCTGGAGGAAGGACATGGCCCCACTGGTTCCCCCCGGGACGATGGAAGCTTGACCTCTTACCGACCTGGGGCAGAGCCCTTGTTTGGAGAGTGGTTTGGAGAGAGACTTCTAGAAAGACAGACCCCAGGGTGTCAGCCTGGGCCAGGAAGGGTCCCCACAGCACAGCCCCTTCCTGGCTTGGGGGGCGGGTGGGGCACATCTCCTGGGGGTGCTGTTCCCCGCCCCCCTTCAGCCCCGGCCCCCTGCCGTTCTGGGAGGAACAAGGTGTGCCAATGGCCTCCTGTCTGCTGAAGGGCGGTGCGGCTGCACAGTGTATTTTCACTGTAGTTGTTAATCCTCATGTGAAGGTATTTTTCCATTGATTTTTAGAGCAAGTGAAAGGGAAGGGGAGAGACAGAGAAACATCGGCTGGTTGCCTTCCACACGCACCCCGACCAAGGCCGGGGATGAGCCTGCAACCGAGCTGCGTTCCTTTAATTGGAGTCTAACCGGGACCCTTCTGTCCGCGGGCCGACACTATCCACGGAGCCAAACCAGCCCGGGCACGTTTGCTGGTTTGTTTTTTAATTAAAAAAAATAACCTTCATGTTTCTGTAAGAGTCAAATGCTTACATTGAAAGCTTCAGGAAGCCATCCCCGGTCTGTGTGGGTGAGCGCAGCTGGGGCGCGTGGGGTCCCCACGGTGCTCTGTGAGCTGGCCCCTGCAGTCCCTGCGGGGAGGTGTTTGCCGTGGTGGTGAACAGGGAAGCCGTGGTTTCTGTGGCTGCTGGGACTCTGCACGGGCGTGATTTCCCTCCTGGGCTCCTACCCGCACTGTTGCCCGGGCAGCATGGTGGGCGGGTTGGTAATTCCCGCTGCGGAGTCACCCGAGGACCGCTGTGCTCCGGGGCAGCAGTGAGCCGCCTCCCGTGCAGACGGCTCTGGTGCCCAGTATCCCTTGTCCCTGACCCTTCTCGTCACACAGATTAGAGGGAGCAGAGGGGGACGAGTGGCCTGGCGTGTCCTTGGCACTAAGAGATAGCGGCAGCTGTTGTGGAGGGACCTGTGACTGGGGACGGCCCAGAGCCTGAGGCCCACACGGGGTCACCCGGCATAGGAACCGATACTATGGCCCGGCTTTGGGGAGAAGAAAGAGCTTTTATTGTGAGTTCAGCGCAAGGAGACTGGGCGGGGCTCAAATCGCTCTCCATCCAGGGTTCTGGCAGGATCTTAAGGGGCTTCCGCACCAGGTCTCCCTGGACAGCGCCCCCCCCTCGCCCCGCCCCGGGTTGTGGCCTGAGGTTCCCATGGCTTCTTGTGGTTCCGTGGGGGAAGCAGTTAAGGGCTCACACATGTCCCGTGTAAGTGGGTTCCACGGGTCCCCTGTAAGTAGGGGAAACGGGTTCCGGATCTCGTTGGAAGCAGGACAGGACCAGTTTGAGCTGGTTCTGCGGCTCCAGGGCAGGTCCAGAAGCCTCCACCGCCCTCCAGACACTCAGCAGAGGGGCCACCAGCCGGACAGGGTCCAGGCTGCGGCCCTCGTGCCCCTGGACACGGATGAGGTCCACTGGTGCCCCCACCATCTGACGGTGGCAGTGGCAGCGCGGTGCAGGGCCGGGCTTTCCCTTGGCCTGCTGGGCCCCACCGTGGAGTGTGGCTGAGCACTGAGTCCTCACAGAGCCTCTCCCGCTAGGACCGGAAGGCCGGCCCAATTAGGTCCGCTCCCTCCAAGGACAGAGCTTGGTGACCAGGGCCAGGCTGCCCCCCACACCCTCACCCTTTCTTTCTGGCAAGCTCTGCTGGGGCCCCCAGGAAGTCACCACCAGGTCAAAGACCACAGCCGTGGACGTTGCCTGGATCCTGCCTGGATCTCGGGTGAGCTAGATGGGGGTGACTGGTTGTACACCAGAGTCCACGTCCACGGAGGCTGCGTGAATGCAAGAACATGCCCCGCGACCTCTGCTCGGGGCCCGAAACGCTGCCTGCGCGCAGTCCTGCAATTGAACCCTGACCTTCTGCTTCATAGGTGGATGCTCAACCCCTGAGTCACACCAGCCGGGCGGGCGGGCAGTAATAGTCACTTTAATTGGCATGCTCCCTAGGAGCGCCTCGGGCTGCTCTGGTTGGGGGAGAGGACGGTGAGGAGGGAGGGAGAGTATCGCACACTTGGCTGCGGGCCTGAGCACCAGCCCTGGCTGTGGTGTTGCTGTTGTTGTCGTTGTTGTTATTGAGCAGCCCTGGGGGGCGGGGCCAGGAGCTCACAGGCGAAGAAGCAGGCACAGAGCAGGGTGGGGTGAGACCAGACCCCGCGGCCTCTTGGTTATCAGTGACCAGGGGCCTGCGCGGGGCAGCGGGCGTCCACTGCCAGTTGTGGTCACTCACTGGGCCCCCGGCAGCCATAGGATGGGGCCGTGACCTCCCCTGTGCACCAAGTGGCCTGAAGCTTGTCTCAGGGACCCACCTGGTGGCCGCCCGTCTCCCGCTGCCACGGGCTCTGCAGGGGCGTGGATACTGTGCAGGGCGCTGGGCGCTGGGCTGGGGACCTGCGTGCATCCCCCACTTCGGCTACCAAGGGCCCCGTATCAGGTCAGGGGGCGGACGTGGCTGGGGGAGACCAGGGTGCAGACTGGCTGGAGTCAGTGCTCCCCTCCCT